ACAATCGATGCCCCCATCTCTTTGAAGGCATACTTGTACATGGAGAAACAGATCCCCAAGAAATACAAGCATATCCACTCATCCTGCTCAGTTTTATAAACTGCCAAGTTCTCTGGAGCCCCTGGATAGTCGCGCCTTCTTAGACGATCATAAATGCACTCTCCAGAAATTTAGCAAAATGTGACGTTATCCCTCGGGGATCTGACCCGGCCTAATTTAATTCAGGATCACTAATTGTATCGACCAGACGAACTCCCTCGGCACTATGAGCCATTAAAACTTGAAAAATAGATGACGATAGTGAATTCGACGATCAAATCAAATCCACCCTTCCACTGTAAATTAAGTGAAAGGGCGAAAAAAGGTACGAGGATACTGCCCTTGACAAAAACCCTTATTTAACTACAAGGAAATCATGAGGAGATCTCAGCGAATAATCTTCACGGGGAAGAGCCTCCCCAACATGAAGCTTCATCAAAAAAACTCATAAACTTCACGGGGAAGAACCTTCCCAACATAGAGTTTCATCATAAAACTCATGAACTTCACAGGGAAGAACCTTCCCGACACAGAGTTTCATCATAAAACTTATGAGTTTTACGGGGAACAGCCTCTTCGGCAAAGAGTTTCATCATAAAACTCATGAATTTCGCAGGGAACAACTTCCTCGACATAGATTTTCATCATAAAACTCATGAATTTTATGGGGAACAACCTCCTCGACACAAAGTTTCATCATAAAACTCATGAATCTCAATGGCACAAGTTTTATTCACTGTCGTAACGACAACTCTGATCTAGATAACACGCGAGACACTAGTTTCCTACTCAAAAAATAAAGTGTTCCTCACTGGCGCCAGCATTTGGAAATGGCTAAACCACCGCCAAACACCAACACCAACACCAACCGGAATCTAACACAAAGGGAATGCAAAAACACGGTAAAAAAGCAAAGACAAACAGTAAAAAAGAAACTTATATGATCAGAGGAAGAAATGAAAGTTGACGATGATTTAGAAACAACAATGACGAAAGCAAAGCTCTAAAACTCAGAGGAAAAGTAGAGGGAAGAACAAAGGAAACTTTGTAAATGTCACTCCATTCTTCCTATTTATGCAATCTTCACTGCATGGGAAAGCGTGGAACTGTTTGGGAAGCGTGTCACTGTTTCATCTCATAATGACCTCTATTCATGAGCCATCATTACACATTTAATAGCGGTGTCACGTGGATCGATGAGACAAAACATTTATCCCTTCAAGTATCATCCATCTTTCAGATTCCAAGATGGCGAGCACCGTTTGTCGAACATAAACGACAAACTTTCGTATTCCCTCACGAGCATGGCCTCAAAGAAAAACTTGAAGCAAATCTACGAGCATCATGATAACTTGCGATCAAAGCAAAACGCTCAACGTGAGCGTAAGATAAACTCTAGATCGTAATCCATGCATAACGTGTCTTCCTCGTAAGCAAAATCCAGTGAGTCACGAGCAAAATCCCGTCCTCGTTTATGCAAACTCATGGGAGACATCCATGGAGAGCATCGTCTGCGGTGACACGAGCTCACTATCATGAGCCTGAATGAAGGATCATTTCCCGTACAGTCTCTTGCTCCTCCTCGACACACGAACTAACTCTAAATCATTACTCCTCTGTCTATAAGCAACGACTTAGGGGGCTTCTGTTCTGGAATGGGCCTATGGCTGATCAAACTTCGAGCATAACCCAATCAAGTTCTACGTTGAGGATGACCTAAAATTTTGGCCTAATCCATTAAGGTCAGTGAAGAACATGTTTTCCACATGTTTCTCACTTGAGGACACATCATCAACTAAACTTGCGTGCTTCGCATGACTGGTGGAACTCTTGTGCCCTTCATAACGGGCATGGTTATCCACTATCCAAGAAGTGTGAAGCGGTTGATCCAGGACGATGATCACGAGTTGTTCATCCCTATTTTTACGTAGAACTCTCGGCGGTCATTCGTTATTGGGCTTGACCACACGGCTCATAACGAGGACCATTGGCTAAGCGTTGAGGGATCACTATAAAAACCCTCATTTGTAGGAGGGTTAGGTATTTTATTCTCTATTCCCTTTTCACTTACCTCTTCACCTGAACTGACTTAAGCATAGAAGTGACTGTAGGTACAATCCCCCTCTATTGATCGTTTGAAACTACGTCAGTGTTGCCGACCACTCACCTGTTCTGATCAACAGTCAAGATCAGGCGGTACAATGAAGTTTCCTCTTGAGGGAGCATTGTGGACTCATACTTGAGGGGGTGTGTTGAGAATAACAAGGCAAGTGTGAGTTGGAGTCCCACATTGGTTATAAATGTGAGGAGTTCAACATTTATAAGTGAGAGAATCTATACACCTATCACCTTAAGGTTTTTGGTGATTATGTGGTATCTCTCTCACTTTTGTGTTACTCTGGCCCAATGTTAAATGCTCTCTCATGTTGACTCACTGAATTTCTTCCAACAAAGGTGGGGTGGGGCGGACGACCCATTTTTCCACCCCTAGTAGAATATGCACATAAAAGATAAGATTATTGCGAATAAAAAAAGAAAGATTATAAATGAGAGATATATAAAAGATACAAATAAATAGGAATTTAGGAGCAATGAAAGAAAAAATGGATGTAAGTGTTGGGGAGTATGGGGAAGGCGGGAGCACCAACAGGACGAGTGTTTCAGGACTACAAGAGAGGAAGACGATACATCTCTACCTAATAACTTAAGGTACTATGTAAATGAGTCATCTCTCTTATAAATTCAATAGTTTTGGATGAAGATGTCATCTTTCTCTCTAGTGGTCTTGGAGCATTCATCTTGTTGGTGCTTCCACCTTCCCAGTACTCTCCAACATTAGTATCAGAGTTGTGGTTTTGTTTGGTGGGGGAACGAAAGCTAGATTCAGTTATAGGATGTGAGGACTCACACTTGTAGGGGATATTGTTGGGTGCAAGTGTGAGTGGTTAAGTCCCGCATCAGTTATGAATGAGTGAAATATTGGATTTATAAGAGAGATGACCCATTTATCTAATACCTTAAAGTTTTGGATGGAGATGTGGTGTATTCCTCTCTTGTGGTCCTGTAGCATTTTTCATGTTGGTGCTCCCACCTTCCCCGAACTCCCTAAATTTAAAAATATAAAAAACATAAAAAATAGATAATCAAATTTCTTGCCATTCTATGAAATCTTAAAGGAGAATAATGAAGAAATAATACATTTTCTCTTTTATTATTTTCATAAAATGTACCATTCTAAAGCTATTATAATATTATAATGGAGGTTGCGGGTGGGAAAGAAACTAAATCGAGGGGAGAAATAATACCACCACATAAGAGTTTAATATGATTTTTATTGACTTTTGTAATAAGCATATACACCACATAACAAAGAGCAATGTGAACATCCTGTAAAAAAAAGAGCAATGTGAACATTAGACTATGTGCAAAATGCGAGATTAATCAACATTAAATAAAAAAGTAGAGATTAATCTTCACGAAATAACATTAAAAACTTACTAGGGTTTATTCTATTGAATAAAATGACTCAGTTTATTCCCTTTTTGTGTGGATTGGATCTCCTACAACCTTAAAGGAAACGTCGCGGGATCACAGAGAGAAAACTGAAGGTCAATATTTATGATCTCTTATTAGTACTTATGGAAGTGATGAAATAAATAAACTTTTTGAATAAGGCTTTCAATGACTGAGTAACCCTACGAAAATAATCATGCAACTGATGACGAATATAAAGAATAATAATTGTGTGCAAAACAAAGGCAGATGGTCGAGAATAGAGATCAATCATGTTCAATGATATTGCCCAGAAAGAAATTGGGTTAAGCTTAATTTTACCACAAAATGTTGGTAGCGTTTCATGGGATTGAGCTAGTTTAGGAATATATGATCAACCAAGAGGTGGGAAATAAGCACTATCTCCTAACTTAGTTCATAGAATTAAAGGATGGCTTAAAGGAAGTGTCATATTAAGTTTAACCATATTTTACGAGAAAAAAATCGTTGAATTGATTAGCTAACTATAGTCTTACTATGATCAATAACGAGCTCCTCATTCTTCTTAATTTCATGTTGAATGATGTGAAGGTTATGTTAGTTGATGATATATAAGAAATCTCTATTTAGACTTTTTAGAGCGTCTTAGTCTTTTCTCTTCTCTTCTCTTTAAAAAAAAAAACATTGAAAACTTTATAACTAAAAAATAATTTTACAAAATCTCTTTTTAACTAATAGAGTGAAAAATCAATTTTTTTTTTAACAATATTAAAACGGTTAGTTTTGAATTACTTACCTTTTTCATTTTATATTCTCATAATATAAAAATAAGAAACTAAATGCATAATCTCATAATATAAAAATAATAATTAAGAGAAAAAAATTATAAATTCTATAGCATAAAATGATCATTCTTCTCTATAAAAAGTTTTTCTAAATCCACAATTAAATTTCATTTTTTTTCATTTTTTCTCGATAATTGAATTAAAATTCCTTATTCAAAAAATAAATATTCAACATATTACCATTACAAAATAGTTAACTTTATTATAACTATTTATTTATATATTTAAAAAAAACTAAAAACATAGAGCCTAAAACCCTATAAGGCTGTAACCCTAAGTCCCTAACCTATGATAATATTAACGGTCCAAGTCTAGAAAGGAAACAATTTATTAATTAATTATTTACTATAATTCATTTAGTATTTATTTTGATTATCATAAAAAAAAAACACTGAAATTTAATCCAAAAGTAGCCGTTACGATAATATAGCGCCTCTTTCTCTCTCATCATAAACAAAACAAAAAAAGTTCGTATTTTTTTCCTTCAATTTCGTTTCATTTGTTTTCTTTGTCCCAATTTCACTCTCACACACGCTAAATTTTCAATCTTTCTCAAATTTCTGAATACCCTTTTAAATTCCGATCAAATCGGTGTATTTTTTGTGGGGGAAACGAAAAGTCGCAATGAGTCCAGAGAAACCCTCGCACTCGCAGACTGAGAATCTGAACCCCAACACGTGTAATCGTGATGTTCTTCAACAATCATGTGTTAATGTTGTTTTGCATCAGAATATGATTCGTCAGAGGAAGTTTGTTGTGGCGAAGAAGAAGAGGAGTTGGTGTTCTGAGAAGAGAACGGTTTTGTGCAAGTGTAAGGAGAATAGTGATGGGGGTAAGTGTGTTTGTGAAGCGTATGAGAATTTAAGGGCTTCCCAAGAAGGGTTTTTTGGTAAAGAGAAGGTTTTTGATGAGGGTGAAGTGAAAGAGGAGGAAACGGAGGAAGAAAGGGCTGAGAATGATCTTGAAGAGGTTATTGAAGCGAATTTGATTATTCATGATGTTGGTAATGAGGAAAGAAAATTGGATGAAGATGAGGGTGATGATGATGATGATGATGATGATGGAGATGAAGATGATGAAGAAAAGGGTTGTCATACTGCTATGGTGAAGCGGAGGAGGGAGAGAGTATTGGAGGAGGCGAGGAATAGTGTTCCGGAGAATGGGAAGGTTATGCATTTGGTGAAGGCTTTTGAGAGGCTTTTGAGTATAAATAGTTATAAGGAGAAAGAGAATGATGATGAGAAGAAGAGAGTGATGAAATGGGCATTACCTGGTTTGCAATTTCAACAGCATGTTAATGAATCTGAAGTTGGAGAAGTTGATGGTTCTTGTGATGAATTGTTTAACTGCATTTTGACTTCTGAACAGCTTGGATTGGATCAAAGAAATTCGGTTTCGTCTTCTTGGGATTGCGCCAATGGAAGGTTTTTGTTGTTTTTTTTTTTGCTTCTTTTACTTTGATTTTATCCCTCTAAAATTTGTTTCATTTTGCTTGAAGTTGTTGACTTGTGTCAGTTGTTGCTTGTGCTTTTTCATGGTGCAGTGTGTGTGGCAGGAATTCTTCTGGTGGTAGAAGAAGCAGAAGAAATGTAAGATTGTTAAGATTGATTAATGATTCACTTTTAACAAAATTGGTTTTTGAAATTTATTGAATTTGGTGTGTGTTTTAGAGCTCGGAATCATCTAGTGTTGTTGGAGGGAGGAGGTGGAAGAAGAAGCAGAAGCTAAAAATCACTAGTCAAAAACCCTTTAAGCTAAGAACTGAGGTAATTTTCTTTGACATTTTTGGTTTTTTCGTTAAAAGTTTCTTCGAATTTTCCTTTGATTATATAATGTTATTGTGCAGCAAAGGGGAAAGATGAAAGAGGAACAGTTTATGAAGAAGGTAAAAGATATTTTGACCGAAGAAGAGAAATTAAGGATACCAATTGCACAAGGTCTTCCATGGACCATAGATGAGCCTGAGGTAATATCATTTTCTCATGTAAATCCTTACTTTGTTTGTGTATATGCTTAGTAACAACTTGTTTAGTTTGTATGCGCTCATTCTCTCGTTAATAATAGCATTCTTAGTGTAGATTATTGTAGTTACGGTAATAGCATTCTTTTGTTATAGTGCTTGATAAAACCTCCGGTAAAAGAAAACACAAAGCCTATTGATGTAAAGCTTCATAGTGATATGAGGGCAATTGATCGCAAAGAGTTTGACCATCAGGTGAATCTTTCAATCTATTCCTTCCATCCTTTTAGTTTTACGCATCATGAAATGTGAAATTGAATGGTTGTTTAATTGTGTAGGTGGCTGAGAAATTGAGTCTGATAGAACAACAAAAAATGGAAATGGAAAGACAGCAAAAGGTGCAATATCTACCAACTTTCACTTCTCAAATCGATGACTCCTGATTTTAAGTTATCTTGTTTCCTTTTTCTTTTAAGTGTTGCTATCTCGTATATACACATACCAGCAAATCATAATCAATCATATATGTGACTTTAGAAGTAGCTATGCTTTAAATCAAACCTGTTTAATCTGACGATTATAATTGATTGACAGTGTATAAATGAAACCGTGTAAAATCTTTGTGTTGATGGTGTATATGATATGATTTAAATCAATATTATTCCCTTACAGTTGGCTGAAGAGGAAGAGATTCGTAGATTGAGGAAAGAACTCATTCCTAAAGCACAGCCAATGCCTTATTTCGACAGGCCTTTTATTCCAAGAAGGTAATGTGATGGTTGAACAATACCGTCATATATTTTTAACTAACTTTTTGGCATTTCAATTTAGAATTCGGATTCTACATCGCTACTCAGCATGACACATTTATTGATCTAGGTCATTCGATTTGAAGACTGGTAAAGATTTTTTGTAAAGCCGATTTATTGAATGGATTAATGTGTTACCTATTGATCTCAAATCGATGACTGAGATAAAATAAGTGTGTTAAAAAACTATGTTCTTTTAGTGTATAGTGCGTTAAATTCAAATCCATTATTTTGGTTTTTGTCTCATAATAATTTGATTTGATTTATAGGTCAATGAAGCATCCAACGATACCGAAAGAACCAAAATTTCACATACCACATCATAAGAAGATCAAGTGTTTGTCACTGAATGAAATGAATTCATACTCTTCATACTTCAACTGAGATTTCATAATTCTTTTGCTGATGAAAGAAGATCAAGTGTCTGTCATATATATATTCATTTTGCTGATGAGAAGAAAAATATTCATTTTGTATACGGGCAAGCAATATTAGTTTGCAAATTTTGGTTTTGCTTTTGATCAATTGTAGTGCAATAATTCTTTGTACTGCTAGGCATCAGCAGAGATGGATTGGAGGCAAAAAGTGTCGTGTTGAAATGAAATGAACATGCTCCTTTTTTTTTTAATTTGAATTCATTCTTAATTCAATCTCATGTATTTTATATAGTAATAATAACTAAAAGTGGGATTACTTTCATCAGTGATATCAAATAGCGGCGTCACTGTTGATATTGTTGATATTATAGTTTTTTTTTGTCATAATCTGCTATAACAGTATCGCAAAGTAGCTGGTATGCCATCGACAACACTTACTTTCATATATGTGTACTCTAAATTACTTCTATTTAGGCGAAAATCATTTGTTTCTAAGACTTGTCTCCACGTTTCCAACCTCACATTTAAAGCCTTATTTGACTCTCCAAGTAGGACTATATCATCTGCAAAAAGAAAACATCTCGGTGTTATCTCTTGGATGTAAGTAAAAATGTATGGGCTTTAGGGTTCAAAGTTGGTGCAATCCTATTGTAATAGGAAAATTGTTTGTCTCTCTACCATGTGTCTGCTCACTAGCAATACCCCTTCAAACATATCTTGGATTACTCAAATATAGGCAATTTACCACTTTCTTCTTCAAGTCAATGAAAACTAAGTGCAAGTCTTATTGGTTCATCCGATATTGCTCGTGTTAGAACAAGATTTGGTTTTGTGTATAATCTCTGAGTTTTGATGATAACAATACATATATTTTGTATGTAACAATTTTGAACTCTAATAGTTCTTTAAGTGTGCAGATAAAACATTCTAATTGATTCAGGATTGTTATCTAAAGAATAATCATAATTGTGTTTAGCATGCCTCAAAGACTATTGCATCTGGTTCTGAAGAAACATCATTAGTTATGATGAATGCTGAATATTCGCCAGAAATAGGATCCACGTGTACTTCTTTAGATAAGTTATTGCTTCAGAAGTCACGAGTGTGTCTAAGAAAATGATCTAGTATGAAGATCAAATATCAAGGTAAGGTGCTTCTCAAATAATTTTATGCTTCCAACTCAGATATCAAGAAACTGTTTGTCAGATAAGTTGTTGCTATAAGTCTGAAGACTAGGTTCTGATTCTGAAGACTCTGATACCTTTGTAAACATTACAATGGAATATCTTCTGGATATATTATCATCAGAAATATTCCATCAGAAGATTAAAGAGCAAACACATGATCTCTTCTACATACTCTTCACTACTTCAGATCAGAAGTATCTCATAAGAAGAAAAGATCAAAATCTTAAGAAGATTATAGTACAACTGTACAAGACCTACTCCACTACGGTGAAGGAAAAATTGTACGATTGAAGATTTGGTGTGCTCTTGTCTCCCACATTCACACGCTACCGTTGTAGCAACTGGCAGATGAAAGTGACATTTTCTACTATCCAACAATCTCTTTTCTTAGTCTATATAAAGGGGTGACTACTTCATTGAAAACTAATTATTCTATTAAAACAATTGATGTATCAAAGAAACACTCTGCAAAGAAAACAAAGAGAGAAAATATTCAAAAGAAATCAAAACACAAAGAGTTGTTGCTCAGTTTTGTTTTAACTTTCATTCCTTATAACACACGAGTTATTGTTCGTTATTGTGTTATTTATCATTGTTGTACACACAAGAGTTGTTGCTCATATTTGTGTGTAAACATTTGTTCTTCATTGAAGTGTTGTATCTGCTTTTCAGAAGCACTTTTGTAAACACTGTTTGATTGTAAATTTTTCAAGATTTGTTTCCTCAAGTGACTAAGTTGTAGTCAGAATTACTTGAGAGGGTTAAGATATTTTTTTAAACTTTTAGACGTTGATGTAATCTTTCTGGATTATTGAATTAAGTCATTTTCTATGGAAAAATCACCTTGGCGGATGGACAAGAGTAGCCTTTTCTAAGGTGAACTTGTATAAACTAATCGTGTCATTTTTCTTTATAATTTATCTATTATTGTTCGTTTGTGAGAAGTATTTCTAAAAGAATTTTTTTTGAAAATCCAATTTAAACCCCCCTTTCTTGTGTTTTTCTCAACCTTCAATTGATATCAGAGCTCCGACTTTGTTATTGATTTTCAAATCAAACACTTAACTGTGTAGAGAGATCCAGTGTGAGAAAAACTTATATGACTATTTCTCATACAAACGAAAGAGATGGTTACAGTACTAAGCCTCTTATTTTTTATGGAGTGAAATTTGACTATCAGAAAGATAAACTAGAAATCTTCTTTCTGGGCTATGATGTTGATCTTTGGAATCTTGTCATATTTGGTTATGAAGAAATTGTATCTATGATTGGTATTCCCGTTCCCAGAAACATAATGAATGATGATCAAAAGTGTGTGCTCAAGAATCATCATAAAGCTAGAAATATACTTCTCAACGCTATATCCTACAATGAATATAAAAAAATCAATAATAAAGAAACAACGAAAGATATTTTTGATTCGTTGAGAATACACATGAAGGTAATACTCAAGTCAAGAAGACTAAGGCTCTAGCCTTAATCCAAAAATGTGAAGCCTTCAAGATGGAAGGCGATGAAATCATTGAAATAGATCATGTGAAATAGATCATTAGAACCTTCTTAAGAAATGGAGACCTATGGTCACTGCTTTGATGCTGTCTAAGAATCTCAACAATCTATCTCTTGAAGAGTTGGCTAGCTCCCTTAGAAGTCATAAAATAGAGTTAGAGGAAGATGAGCCCTAGAAAAGAGGAAAATATATTGTTCTAAGATCTAAGTCAGAAAGGATAAAAACAAAAAAGAACAAATCCTTTCAAGCTGAAAAGATAGAAGATTTTGATTATGAATCTTCTGATGAGGGAGATGAATTGTCCCTTCTTTTCAGAACAGTCAAGCCACTCTGGAAGAAAAGACAAAACAACTTCCGAAGACCCAAAAGCTGAGAAGCTCGCTCAGAATCATCTGCAAGAGGAAGAGCTAGCAAAGAGGTAATATGTTACGAGTGCAAGGAGCCTGGACACTACAGAAATAAATGTCCAACACTCAAGGAAAGATTTAAGAAGAATGCTTTCAATGGAAAGAAGAAAGGTCTCATGGCGACATGAGATGATTCAGACTCTAGAGAATCAGATTCTGAAGGAGAGCATGCTAATATAGATCTCATGGCTATCACATCATAAGAAGACACCACAGAAATTGAGTCTGACTCAGAAGAAGTATTTTCTGAACTTTCTCGTACTGAACTATAATTATGTCTGTCTGAATCTTTGAGTAGGTATCATAAGCTTCAACGAAAATTCAAGAACCTTCAAAAAGTTCATCAATATGAAATTGAAGAATATGGTAAGCTAGAAGAAAAGTTTCTGAACAAAAAGGTGACACTTTTATCTTAGAAAAAGAAAATGTTTTTCTGAACAAAAAAATGTTTGAAACTTGAAGAAACTCTTTCAAAAACTCCTTCATCTTCGGAAACAATCTTATACAAGTATGATAAAGCATTCTAGACAATTTTAAACGAAATCATAGATAGAAAAAATAGCTTCCATGATCTATGGTATAAATCATAATGGTAAGAGAGGAATTGGTTATATTTCTGATGAAGAAATCCAAGAAAACAAGTTGTTTTCTCGGTTTTCATATATATACCCTCAGTACAAGCACAAATAGTTAATGTTGTACAAAAACCCGAGTTTATTAAGAACTCTGGGAAAACTAACTCTAAAGAACTCAAAAGTCTCTCGGTATCAAAAGACAAAATAGTGTATGTTGCAGATATCTCATGCAGTGAAATTAAGGCATCTGGTCTATGGTTGCTTGCAACACATGATAGAAAGAAGGCGTATATTCCACATCCAAGAACTTAAGCCAGTTGGTCTTGATCAAATATGAAGATGATCATAAAAGAAAGATCATGGGTTATGGAATCATATGCTCTGAAGGAGATTCAAGGAAACACTACTAATAAAATGTTGAAAATACAAAATGTGATGAGAATATTACATCGGAAACTATTAAATGCTCTTAAGTTCAGAAAAGGAAAGGACCAAGACAATCTGTATCTGAGGAATTGATTCTTAAAGCTAAAGTCAATTGTCATAACAAGATCCACATTCAAGATATCTGAAGAAATGCTTCTAGTTAAATAGATCTCCAGAAGCAAAGCGAGTAAGAAAGATAATGTTTTAGAAATAAAGCACGTCGGTTATAATCTCTTATCCTATAATCTTAACTTATTTTATTTATGAAGTCTCTCCTTGATACTTATACAAGTTATAAGATATCTTGATTATAAAATCTTTTAGTAAGAAAACCTTTGGTATTCATGGCTTTATTTTATATCAACTCATGTCCTTTCAAATGTATGGTTATGATTCACTTTAGATAGTTGTCAATTCTGAGTCATAAATGCGCCATTTGAGTGACACCTCGAGGAATGGGCTTCTTGATATTAGGTTAAAATCATCATTACTTTTTCCTCATGTACGTCTTATTTGTTTAAGTAATTATTTCAGAAGCTGATTTATAAACACTCACTTAGTCCATTTTCACACACCTCACTACATCTCTTCTCACACTTTCAAATTATTTTAAAACCCTAAAACCACTTTCTATCATCATTTTCGTTTATGGATGCTCATTAACAACGAGTTTTCGAGTTTGCTCAAGAAATCATTCTTCTACAAGGATCTTCCCAAAAAGATTCCAAACTGGTTCCTTATTTTTTATCAACATCGGAGAAATATTCCGGGTCAGGTCAAAAGGATATTCAAGAACAAATGTATGATGTTCCTGAAACCACTCTTGGTACTAGTTTGGACCGGTTAAAAGTTATTTATGAAACTCTAGTTGATTTCGAAAACCTCAAAGATAATGGATTTAA